TCAGCCTCCTAATACAGCCTCACTGGGACTCTGCAGTGAGCTCCAGGCCTTCTACTGGATCTTTCTGATCTGCAGCGTGCAGACAGACCCTCTGCACTCTTCCACACCTGACTCTGGGGCAGCCACTGTACGCCTATCTTGTAAATCCTTATATATTTGCGTATCTTGCATTTAAGCTGTTTCTCTAGGAAATACGGTTGTTGCACCATGTAACCTCTCTGCACATGCTCCTGCTGCCTGCAGCCCTCACCAGAGCTGAAGAGAAGCCAACACTGCTCTTGCACTTCCAGAACTCTGAGCCAAATAAACTCCCATCTTTTATAAATCACCCAACCTCCAGTATTTTGATACAGCATTGGATAGCAGACTAATACACCACCCCAACCTGCAAGCCTTACCAGGCTCAGCCCCTGGGAATGCTCCCCTCTGCTGTTTCCTGGAATGGCCTCCTTGCATTACTAGGGATCCTGAGCAACCATTAAGAGAACTTCCAAACCCCAAATCATCATATATATATATATATATTTATTTTTTTTTTTTTTTTTAATGGCTCTTTCTAAAACTTGGAAACTCTTCTAGTGTATTTGTTTACTGGACTGGGATCTTCTTGAGGGCTGGAACTAGATCTGTTCTGCTCACTGCTAGGTGTAAGGGGCCTAGCACATACAAGAGACTTAATAAAGATTTGCTAGGGCTGGGGATTTAGCTCAGTGGTTTTGCCACCTGCCTTGCAAGCTCAAGCTCCCAAGCTCTATTCCCAGTACCAAAAAAAAAAAAAAAAAGCTCTTCTATGTGTGTGAATGAGCATGTGGTAGTGCAAGACTTCCCTGCTTCAGTCCTGGTGCCACTGAGCCGGTAAATGAAGAGGCTGTCATTTTAAGCAGCAGAACTGGAAACTATCTCCCTCTGCCCCCTTCCAAGCCCCCTGTCTGACCCTCTGGGCCGTATCCTTCCCCAGGCTGCAAAGCCCTCCCCACTGCGAGCCCAGCCAAAGAAAAATCTCTGCAATCATAGATAACTACTGCCTGCAAGTCCCCATTCAAGTTCAGTATTTGTGACTAAAGCTGCCTGGAAACCTTGCAGGCAGCACACACTTCCGGTGGGGGTTTTCTCTTCTCCAGTGCGGGGGGGTGGGGGTGTGTGGGGGGGTGCCTAGTTGCGGCCCCCTGGGGAGCTGGCAGGCAGCCTCTGGGCGCCCAGGCTGGGCTGGCCAGGGGAGCCAAAGGCGGTCCAGCTCTCCCTCCTGCTCTGGGCTCTAGCTCTTCCCACACAGTGCAGCCTGCGGGGGGGGGGGGGTGCTAATTGGAGCAGTAATTGGTAATTAGACCAAAAGCCCAAGGACTTCGAGAGAGGATTTGGGGGTGCCATGGAGGGGACAGCTTTTTCCGTCAATAAGTCCCTGAGAATGACGCCAATTGTTGCTGTAGGTAGGGGCGTGCAGATGTCTGTGGAGCACAGAGAGAGCTCTGGGCTGTGACGCAGGGGAGCCTAAAGGATGTGTAAAGAGAGCCAAAATGACTCCCTACAAATTGGCACTTTCCCCCCAGCCTTCATACCTTTGCTGTGCAGCTAAGGTGATAATCAGCCCTGCTGTGGAAAAGGTGCAGCAGCAGGCAGGAACCCTTCTCTGCACAAAGCCCTCTTTGGTGGGGAAAAAAAAAATCATCAAAGAAAAAAGAAAATTGTTTAAGCTTTAAAACTCAAAAAGTTGGCTGCAGTTATCGAAATGTCTTATAAAGCAACAGCAAAATGAAAAAAATAAAAATAAAAAATAAACTGTCCCAGAGACTTGAGAGTGAGCCAAAAATATTAATATACGGGAACATGGAGAACCTTCTGCACACTGTAAATATTTTCTCAGTTTTCCACATATCACCAGAGAGCGTTGTAGTCCTTTTTTCTTTAGCCACCCTTCCTGTTTGAAATCTATGCTGGAAAACAATTTCACCAAGGGAAAAACAATATTAGGTGAAGAAACCGTCTGCCAGAGGCCTGTGAATTTTCTGTTTCAAATCCTAGAGAAAAGGGGTTTTGACCCTTAGAACCAGAATAAAGGAAAGGATGCAGAAATCAAAGAAAAAGCAGACCAGCGGAACTCAGCATTACCACAGCCTGCAGTGCACGCGGGTGCAGGTCTTGCTGAGCATAGGAGGAAGTTCATGGACCCGGGGTGAGTGAAGGACAAAGCACCCAGAGAATTTGAATTTTAGGTCCAGAAGTAACTTCTCAGAAATGGAGCAGAGATGTGTGTCTCATGAAAATCACATGTGCCAGACATTCCCTGTGTTGATTTGCTGGCCACCTATGGGCTGGGGGAGGAAGTCCCACACTAGGAAGAGGAGCTCCTGGTGGATCTGATCACGTCCTCGGCCCCTTGGTCAGAACAGAAGCATCAGTGCAGGTCAGGAAGTGCATGTTATGAGTCCCTGAACGTTCTGTCCTCTGTGGGCTTCAGCTTCCTGGAAGCAGTGCTGTGACATGCAGCAGGTCCTGGCACATTGCTGAGTGGCACCGTGATTCAGTCTCCTACAGGTTTGCACCCTGGAAACGACCAGCCTGAGCTTATTCTCAAGTCTCCTTTTCACAGCCAAGGTCAGCCGCATGATAGTCACCAAGAATGAGGAGTTCTGGGTGGCTAAAAGAGAGAAGAACCAGAAATGTTGAGTCTCTCTTTCTTAGGGCCTCTTCCCTGAGGAAGAGAGCTTGGTCTCCGAGGCCAGGGCTTCACAGCAAGGGTGGCTCCGGCTCTCTCTCTGCTGAGCAGAGAAGGAACCAACCACCAGCCATCCACGGCCTCTTCTTCAACACTGACGTGCTTCAGGAACAAGCACTGGCTCCACCCAAATCCGCATTCCCACCTCCCACACCAAATGCAAAGGAGGCAGCTGCCTAAACCGGACAACAGCATGGCCTCCACTGGCTGCACCCAGTACCACACTGAGCTCTGTGCAGTCAGCCTGGGCAGCCTCTGAGATCCCTGCAAGGTGGTGGTATGATCCTCCTCTCATTTTACAGATGAAGACCCCAGGGCTCGGAGAAGCCAGACAACTTGCCCAAGGTCACTGGGAAGGTACCCAACAGCGTCAGGAGTTGAGTGCACAATCCCACACCCTGTGCATTTAACCTCAGCTCTGTACCCATTTCTGGCCCTGGAGGCTGCCCCCAGAGGATCCTGTGCAGGTATTTCTGAGGACAGTAGACAGGACTGGCACATTCATCATCCTTCAGAAGGCAGAGATCTTGGCCCTTCCGTTTCCAGAGAACTCTCCAGCCCCAGCCTCCTGTGTGTTCTTCAAACACTGTATGCTGGCTCCACCTCAGGATCTTTGCCCAGCCCCTCCTTCACCAGATCTGGGCCTTAATGTCCCTTCTCAAGTCCCTCCACACCTTCCCTGCCTCTCTGTCACCGTTAGCTCCAGCCCAGTTAACTTTCCTCACAGCATGCTCTCTCCCTGGCATCTGCTCACTTGCTGTCCCTCACTCCATGAGGCAGGTCCTTGTCACTCTGGCTCTTCTCTGTCCCAGCACTTAACTGGCATCGGACACATCAAGGCACTCAAAATGACCCTCGGGATCAGGCAGAGACAGACCTTCGGTAAGGGACTCAATCATTTTAACAGAAACATCTTAGAAGCCTCCCAAGGAGGAGCAGAATTTGTCCTCACTCTATGATGGATCTTTCTCTCTTCCTGGCAACCCACTCCCTTCCTCCCAGAATGTCTTTCTTCCTGTCACAGGAATGGCGACTTCGGAGACAAGGCCAAGAAGAAAAGCCACACCTACCTGGAGACACATCCACCCTCCAGCTTTGCTGTCGGCTCAGCCATGGACACAGACTAAGTCATTGACTGTTGATCAATCCAGCCCCTGCCTGGCCCGTCAGCTGGTCTATCGGGTCGGGGGCTGGGAGTTCTTGGTCTGGGGCTTTCACCAGGCCCCTTGAATGACTAAGAACAGCAGCTCAGCGACTGGCATGAGAGTCATCCTCGAGGACACCACCCCAGCTGAGCCACCTGCAGACACCACAGGGAGTCTGCTGACAGGGAGGGGCCAGGGACAGGCCTGGAGGGTCTGCACTTCTGAAGTATGGAAACACTCAGCCCGGGGCCTTGGTAGCAATCCAGGAAGTGACCGACCAAGGCGTTTGGCCACTGTCCACTCGGCCCACTGAGGACTGGGCACATGTGTCTCGTGGCCACTTGGCCAGAACACTGTCCAGGCGCTGTTCAGTGGACCCCTCTCTCATGTCTCAGGACCACTTTTCAGTCCCAGACCCGTGACACTCTTGTCAGAGAGCTGAACACCAAACCTAAGGCAATGCCGATGGCATGAAAGAAGAGAGTGTGGAGTGCTGGTGTCTGGGGTGAAACGAAGTGAGATGAATTTCATTTAGGAGTCGTTACAGAGTGGAGGCCAACAGAAACGTGGACCTACGTTCTCCAGAGACATGTGCAGTCACGTTCACAGCAGTGCTTTCTCGGCCAGTGGAACAGGACACTGTTCAGGGGTGGAGAGAACACACTGGGGCACTCAGCCCTGCGAGGGACCGCTGGATGTGACACCCAGCAAAGGAAGCAGGCACGAGGAAGACCATCCTGATGCTTCGATCCAAAACAGTGGCCAGGCTGATGTCTACACAGACAGAGACAGGGCAGTGCAGGGAGGTGGCCACAGGCGCTGGAGGTGGCTGGAACTCGCTGCTTCCCAGTCTAGGGGGTGATGCTCCTGGCCCTACTTCACTAAGCTTTGTGCACTTGGGACTTTGCCGCTGATAGGTGTGCCGTCTGAGGTGTCTACTTAGAGGTCTCCCTCGGGGGACAGGTGTGCGGGATGATGGACCAGGCTCAGAGCCAGCACAGGAAAACAAGCCCGCTACAAGCTTCTTCCGCCCAGGCTGCATGGGCAATTCACCCCCTCCAGGTGCAACGCTGCGGCCTCCGAGTCTGGAGTCTCGCGTTGACTCGGTCTCCCTAGCAACCGGTCTCCCTAGCGACGTGAGACGCTGAGCCCAGACAGCGTGCTGGTTGTAAGGAGACCCCAGGCCCATGGCAGGGAAAATGATGAGCATCGAGGCGGCCCAGCGCATGAACCTTGTGGCCCAGGACGAGATCTGGTAAAATTTCCGGATGCTGTAGCCCTGTGGGCGGGGCCGTCCTCACCTGGAATGTGTACACCAGGCAGCCTCAGTTTACCCACCACGTCCCCAAAACAGTCGACCTCTGGGTGCTGGAGGGGTCTCTGTGACCTCAGGTCAAGGACCCTGAGGAAAGGCGGCGTGCTAGGGGCACCTGAGCGACCTCACAGTCTTTCTCCCCTTCCCTCCAAACCCACCACGAAAGCTAAAAAATTTCGCAGCGGTCTCACAGGGTTGTTTGTCGAAGGCCAATTACGACGTTTTTTCATTCTTCAGATTCACCAAACTTTAAAAAAAAAGGAAACAAACATGTTAATATTTGTTCAACTTGAAGGAGCGATGTGTAGGTACTTTATCTCTCCATTTTTCTGGATTTCTAAGTAATAACAAATTTTAAATTTAAAAATAGATCCATTTTTCTAAGAGTTACGTTCAGCAGACATTTGTAATGGATGTTCTTAATTGGCATTCTGCTGGATTGCTGAATATTATTCCATTCCTTTGAAGTTTGAAGTTACTAATTTAGATGCAAGTAAAGTTTTAGTAACAACTCAGTATAATTGCTTACCTTACTTCAATTATCCTATTTAACATCTCTGTGATTTTATCATTTCCTTGTAACACCTTGATTAGTCACTTTATATTTGGGCTTAATTTGACTGTTTCACTTAATACACTTATTTTTATAGCAAACTTTACATCACTCTCATAAACGGAAAACCATGGTTTCATAAAATACACAATTTGATCTTCTTAAAAAAAATCTTTATCTTCACCCAAGTACTCTCATTAGGAAACAATACCACTCCCTCTTTCTCAGTTGCTTCCCCTCTCCACCACGTGAACTCCTACCCATCCTTCACAATCAAAATCCAGGTTGGGTGGTCTGCCTGTTAAGCCTTAGACTGTCAGGCTTCAGACTTCCATGTCCAGTGTCCAACATGGCTATTGAACACTTGAAATGTAACTGATCCAAATTGGGCCTAGCTGTAAATGTAAAATACACAACAGATTTCAAAGATTCTTACAAAAGAAGTATTATTACAGTTACTGTTACTTGGTTATTTTCCTTTCTTTTTGATAGGGCTACTAGAAAATTTATAATTATGTATATGACTCACATTTGTGGTTCATGTTACATTTCTATTAGAAAATGGACTCTGCCTTGATGTTCAGTGCCCAGGGCAAAGAGCTTGATCAGAGTCTCCAAAACTACCCAGATAGGGAAGGGCTGCAGACATTGATTCCAAAATAAAAGGAACTTGAAAAGTCAAAACAACTAAATGTTTAATAAGATGTGTGCAAAATGTGACACACCAGTTTGTCAACAGCAGCTCAGCTCAGCTGACAAGCAGCTATGTAGAAATTCTGCAACGGCAGAAGCTTAGGGTGGGGTCAGGCCCCTGGGGTGCAGGCAGTAGGAAGGACTTCGGATCAAGGTCATGCTGCTCCTTGACCTCTCAGGACAAGGATGTGCACAGAAAGTGCCATCTACTACTGAGTCAGCCCCTCAGGCAGAGCCAGCCCCTGTCTGGTCTGCTGCTATGATGCATTCTGCTACTGAAGAGTCACCAGGACCCCTCTGCCTCAGCCTGGGGACCTCTGGGGTGCTCAGTCCTGCACTCTGGCTCCAACTCGGCCATGGCAGAACCACAATCCCAGTGCTGTGTGCCAAGAATGTGGAACGTTACGTCCTTTGAGAGTTTTTAGCTTGAGCCTTTTCGGATGATGTCGCCCGTCACCTGGGAACTTTCCTTTGCAGGAGATACCTCCTCAAGGCTGAATCTGAAGCACGGAAAAACTGGGCCCAGAACTGGGGATTTTTGACAACCTCCCTCGAGGAGGTAAATATAACTTTTATGAGCTCCAAGTTTATCGCTTCAGTCGTTTTGGACAGTAAGTGTACCGTTTGAATAAGATCGAGAATGTGTAGTAGGCGAAGATCACTCTGAAGCCAGGAGGGTCCTTCTTTTCATGAGTAATTGAACACTTGCTGTTGGACCAGTGCTGCCTCAGAACCAGCCCATTTAATCTGAGTCAGAGCTGCTGCTCTGTGCCCACGTTACAGGTTAGAAAACTAAGCTCAAAGAACTGCAAAGTCACACAGCCACTGGAGGACACGCCACGGTAAGAATCTGGTCAGTTTAACTCCATGGCCACCTGACCTCAGACTTCCCATCTGTGAAGTGGGGCAGTAATGCTCCTCTACCTAACTGCATAAGTGTGAGTATAGGTGGGATAAGAAGGAATGTGAGCCCCCGTTAAACCTAGAGGCCAGGTAATCTGTGAAGGGCTATTGGGAAGATACAATGGGTATGCACTAATGCAGGGCCCAGAGTCTGCAGGGACCAGATGGGACAGAAACAGGAGAAAGGGCTGAACATAATTAGCAGGGAGAGGTGGGAATGCTGGCAGAGAGCATTTGTCCTGTCCAAAGAGGCAGCCACCGTCAGCTCAGATGAGTGCTACGAGACAGGAAGGCCAATTATATATTATAAGTGTCTTGGGGAGTCCAGAACCCCAGATGTTCAAATGAACATCTTCTAGGCCTAGAATAAGGGTCTCCAATTTATGAAGCCACTATAGAGACACCCAGGTTGTCAGTGTGCATCTCCATGGGGTCGTGGTCACTTGGTGACCTCTCAAACTACCTCTGACCAGACTGTAAGGAAGCCACACTCTCTGGAGGGATGTAACACTAAAGAACAGGCTAAATCAAAATGTTTGTGCTTCAAGGTGGTGGAAATTCCATCTGTAATCCACCTCACCCTGCCAACTTTGAAGTGATGCCATTCTTAATGAGTATTTTTTCTAATTCTTAGAGAATTACACAATTTAAAATCATATGCATAAAGTGAGGCCTTATTACTCTAATATGCATAAAATGAGTCTATATTAATATTCCTTATGTGTAATTAAACTGAGTTTTCAAAGAGTTCAAAATTGCTTTAAAAATTCAAAGGGGGGATGGGGCTCTCTTTTATGATTTCAAAGATTGGTCCTGGAACCTTGCTGGCATGTTTTAATTTGCGTCCATAACCTGTGGAGTGTTCTCAAGTCACTACACAGGGGATATAAATTAGTAGGCTGCAATGAGCCATAGGAGGGGTGGTGGTTAATTGCGGCTTCAGGCTGAGCTGGCCTGCAGGCAGGGCCCATGCTGCGCTTCCACCAGTTTCACCTAATGTTCTGAGCCCAACTTTTGACATCTGTCAAAAGTGACCTTTGGGCCAGTGATGAGGAGTCTATGTCCCCAAGCCTCAGCCTAGGGTTTCCCATCTCTGCACTCTGTTTCAGTTGATCCAGGGTGAAGAACCCCATACCCCAAAGCCAAAAGTTGAGCTTCCCGAACACTTCCGCATCCGGCCAGTGACCCCCATAGAGAAATACATCAAGGTTAGAAAAGTCATTTTTAAATTCTCATTTTCCCGAGAAACAAGCCCCATCAACAATTGGGATCCCTCCAAACTCCAAAGAGAAGGACACTGTGGTGAGCAGCATGCAGAGTCCTGAACCCGGGCCCTTTCTAAGCCCAGATGCTGGAATCACATCAGGGGAAAAATCACATCAGGACCAGCAGGGCCCACGGCCACCCGCCCTGCAGATAAAGGGAAACTGGGGACCTGGGGCTCCACCTGTTCTCAGAGCAAATATTTACAGGAGCTGAGTAGGAAAATAGGGCAGGAGAGGCTCAAGCTCTGGAATGAGACCTGAGCCCAAGTCCTGGTCTGCTGCTCGCCTCCTTCATGGTGGTGGCCAAGGGGCTTGGACTTTCTGTCCTCAGTACCACTGTTACAGAGAAGGCTGCTGTTTCAGCAGAGCTGCGGCATGGAGCGAGCGCCTATTGAAGGGTCATTCCGGGGCCGAGCAGAGAATGAAGGTCAGGTGAAGGGTCAGAGTGGCCAGGCACCTCCACTGAAGGCGAGTATGCTCCAGAGACACGCTCAGCTGTGGACACGGGCCAGGCGCCTCCGGACACCGCTAAGCTTTGTATGTCCCAGGGCTTCTCTTCATGCCACTGTCACAGGGTCTCAGGTTCTCCTCTGCTGACTGCAGAGAAGAAGGTCCGTGTGCTGACGGAGAGAGGGGAGGAAACCTCAGAACCAAGCAGCAAGGCCAAGGGCTTTCAGATCTGTGGATTTCCTTTTCCCGATGCATCCTGGGTCTGAGGTGGAGGAGGGTGGCGAGCACATGAGAGCATTGGGTCACTATGTGTCTGAGTGAGAGAAAGGGAGGAGGGAGGGGGAGCAAGGGAGGGGAGCAGGCCCAAGGGGGGCTTCGCTGAGCTATGCTGGGGGTTTCCCTCCCCTGAGTATGAGACAATATAGCATCACAGTTTTATGAAGTGTTTAATACTGGGCATGGTGGTACTTGCCTACTATCCCAGCACTCTGGGAGGCTGAGTCAGGAGGATCATTGTTCCAAGTCTGGGTGACTTAGCAAATTAGAGAGACCCTGTTTCTAAGCAAAAATTTTAAAAGGTGCTGGGGATGTAGCTCAGCGTGAAGGCCCTGTGTTTGAACCTGAGTACCACCAAGAAATGTGTGTGTGCGTGTGTGTATGTGTGTGTGTGTGTGCACGCAGAACTGTAAAGGTAACTAAAACACCCATGTGCACTCTTATCCATGGTGAACATTTTGGGGTGCTCCTTCCGGAGGTTTTCCCATGCACCCACAAGAGTGGGCACCTAGTAACACCAGCTCAGAACTGGCAGCTCCTAGCTTCTCACTGTGCTGAGTGTCTTACGTGGGTCCCCCCATCTCATTCCTCCTCCAGCCTTAGCAGGTGGACACTGTCACCATGAAGCCCATTGTGCAGATGCAAAAGCTAAAGCTGCTGAAGGCTGAACAACCTCCCCCAGGTCACAGACCAGGGGTGCCTGAGTCCGGAGCTCTGCTCTGAAATGCTATGCTTGACCACTCATACGTGTGAGGGCAACACTTACTTATATGTACAAATACATGTTTGAAAATCAAACTATACAGGCTACTGTGCTGCCTCCTCTTGTCACTTATCAATACATCCTGAGTGTCTTTCCTAGTAGTTGGAAATAGCACTCCTACTCATTATTATATTAATGGCTGCATTTGTCTCCAAAAGAGAGACCTAGTATTATCTGTTATCTCAGGGTTCTTTGGCTCAATTTGGTTCGAACTGCTAACAGGCAAAGTGCAGCTCTGGTAGAAGCTAGTGCTAACAGCTCTGATATTCAAGTTCTGTGCTCCGCTCCTAGGGTTATAGCTTTAAGCCTTGAGTGCCAGCAGCTCTGCTCTTAGTGTTGCAACTGTGAGCATGCTGCATCTGCTCCAGGGTGTGGAAGTTGATCCGTGGGTTGTAGTTTATGACCAATCATTTACTACAGCACACAGGACTTCAATGCGCCATTGCACATGCTGTTGCAGATTCGGGCAGACATTAGGGTATCTTAGGACCCAGACCTGAGCCAGGTGCGCTCTCTGCAGGTAATTGCAGTATTGCTCGTACTCCCCCCAGGCCCTGGTAAGCGGTGGTATTTTCATCTTGCTGCCACTCCGGAGAGTGAGTGTGGCACCTCAGGTGCTCTGCAGGTTGGATGGAGACTTGAAAGCCAACTTGTGCTCCCGGGGGCCCCACTGGACAGGCCACCATGGGGACGGTTTCCCTTCTGCATGGCTCTGTCCATAGCAGGCACAAGGAGACTTTGTTCCCTCTGCTACCTATGCAAGATGCTCCCACCTGTGGTCTCTGAGACTGATTTTCAGTCCACAAGAGCACATTAGGAAGCTTTGTCCTCAAGTCACACCCAGTGCCCCCGGGCCCTTCCCCTCTGCCTCCGCCTGCAGAGGATTCTTCCCACAGGAATGAACTCGGTGACCTCAGCACATGAAAGCTCTGTCTCAGTTCTTCTGTGAGAACAAATATTCCTCACTGCTGCCTTTGTTCAAATACTTCCCCAAACAGATTATTTTAAAAGGAGAGCGAAAGTGCCTAAACACTTACCCTCCTTTTCCAAGACTTTCAAATCCACCAAGGAACTGACAAATGAAGCTGTGCTTTTTCCTTTCAGACAGAAGCCTGTTTTCATTTTGGTTTTTTAATTCAATTCAGTTGCTTTGTGTTCCTGTGGTCTCTACAGTTTAAAGGGTGTGTGTGTGTGTGTGTGTGTGTGTGTGTGTGTGTCATACAGTCTTTTAATTAAAACCTGATTTATAACTGGCAGAAAACCATCTGACACTATGGTCATATATATATATATATAAAAATGCAGACCCATGTTTATTTATTTATTTATTTATTTTATGGTATGGGGGATTGAACTCGAGACCTTGTGCCTGCAAGGCAGGTGGCGACACCACTGAGCTAAATCCCAGAACCATATGGTCATATAGTTTATAAAAGACAGTGAGGACTATTGTATTTAATATTTCTCTTTTTTAACTCTTTTTTACAAAATAAAAATTAACTTATCTGGAGCTCAGGAATTAAATATGCTATGCACTACAAAATAAAGAAATATGTTCCACATTCCTGACTTTGAGGAAAGATACGACCCTCAGGTGCCTGCCACTGAACATGTTTAATCTCAGCACACATTCATGATAACCAGCTTTTCTGTCTTTTGTGCCAATCCTGGGAGCCTTCAGTCAGGACACCCCTCGTGTCACTGTGGCCCAAGGTGACTAACCCCTGCATTTCTACTCCAGGTCCTCCCATCCCCCCCAGTCCCACAGACGACCCAGGGCCTCATCGGCTGGCGGTCCTCAGTGCCAGGGCTCAGCAAATGCCTGGAACACGACAACATGATCCGCAGCTGCAAAGGGGCCTACGCCCGGGGGCTGGGCTGGCCAGAGCAGGGCATCCATTGAGCTCCGCCCTGGCAGGGAGCAGGACACCAGGTGCTCTGCTCTCCAGGGTGAGGCTTCTCACCCCACACATCTGAAGTCACAGTCCCCGCACCTTCGCCCACAGGATGCAGCAGAGAACACAGCCTGGCTCCATCCTTCCGGATGTTCATGTAAAACTGGTTCTTGACTGATGTAATGAACAAGGCAAAATAGATACCCTGATGTGTTTTGCTTGTTTGTTTTTTGATACCTTGGGAATTTCTAAGTACTCTATGGTTTGGGATTTTTTAACAGTTGTGATTTAATTTTAGAAATATTTGTCTAGGTCTTCTTTTTTTTTTCAATGCTGTAGACTGAACCCTGGTCTTGGCTCATGCTACGCATCCCCAGTGTCCCCTCTTTGCTGAGACATTTGCAATTACTCAACAGTTTCAAGGGCAGAAATGAGCCCAAGATTTGCTGTCCAGTGGAGATTTCTAGCAGGGCTTCCCAAGGGAACTAAGACCACCACCCTCCTGGCCTGCCCAGGGCTCCTGTCCTGGCCTAGGCAGTGCCAGGCTGGCCAACACGTGATTTCCTACCCCCACACATCAACTCCTTGGCTAATATTCTGTATCTATCCCTACCTAGCTCTGTAGGTTTCCTCAAATCAGGGGTGGGGAAGGGGGGCATCCATAGAGACAAAGAGGAAAAGCCAGCATGTCCTTGGGGCTCTTGGAATGGACCCCAAAATGTAGGAGAGGGGAGAGTGTTTGGCAGCCTGGGGAAGCTGGTGCTGGTCCACTTCTGAGAGCACAGGGTTGATTCCCTTTCAGACCTGGCACAGGCAGGGCAGAGGGCCCACGTGCAGTCATCTGCCCTCCACAGAGACACCTGCTATGTTTGCCACCTTTCTGTTGCTGGGACAAAATACTTGACATACAATTTAAAGGAGAAGTTTATTTTGGCTCATCGTTTTGGGGGTTTCAGTCCATGGTCAGGTGGCTCCAAGGCCAGAACATCGTGGAGGAAGGGTGTGGCAGAGCAAAGCTGCTCAACTCATGGCAACCAGGAACCAGAAAGAAGGGAAGAGCCTATGAAAAGGCCAACCCTTTAAAGGTGCTCCCCCAGTGACCTACTTCTTCCAACTAGGCCCCACCTCCTAATATCCCATTCATCAATGAACTCATTAATGGGGCTGTGCATTGATGAGGTTAATCTCCTCACAATGGATCACTCTTAAGGCATCTCTTAATCCAATCAAGCTAATGACGAAGATTAACTGTCACCTTCCTCCTGTGGTAATTCAGGCCTCCTTGTTGGCAGGAAAGACTCCTCCCTCTGACCACAGTGATACCAAAAAAGATCTATTAAAGTCCTAGGCTCCAGCTCTTGTGAATGTGACTGTGATGGATAATTGTGACATCAACTGGAATGGATTAAGGAATGCCAGGCGGGTTGGTGGAGTGCAGTTCTGGGTGTTCTGGATGATTGACACATAGGTCACAAATTGAAGAGGAAGACCCACCCCCATGTGGGTAGCACCAACCAATAGGCTTATGGCTTAGATGGAAAAAAAAGGGAAAGCAAGAGGAAGTCTGCCCTTTTTGCTTATTTAGAGGAGCTCCAGTCTTCACCATCACCTTTGGACATTTGTTCAGTTCCTTAGGCTTCCACTGCAGACTCTTCAGCCTTCCAGTGCAGACCTTATGCCTTTGCAACACAGACTCACACTAGACTGCAGTGAGCTCCAGGCCACAGACTTTCAACTGGACCCTCCAGCCCTCCAGCACACAGATGGCCATTTTTCCTTTACATATCATATATTTTTTATGTATTAAATCTGTTCTTTTAGGGGACCCTAACTGATACAATGACCTTATTTCTAGATATATTACCTAGAAATTTCTAGATATTATCTAGAAATAAGTCATTGCAGGTGTGACTAGTTAAATTGAGATGAGGTCACCCTGGACTTTTGACCCAGTATGCCTGGTATCCTTAGAAGATGAGGAGAAAGACACGCACAGGGAGGAGACAGTCAAGTGATGACAGAGGCAGAAATCAGAGTGACACATCTATCAGCCAAGGAATGCTAAAAATGCCAGCAGCCTATCAGAAGCCAGGAAGAGGCAAGAGAGGATCCCACCTGCCTATTTCAGGGGGAACATGGTCCTGCCAACCTTGACTTCAGACTTTGGGACTCCTCCTAAGAGGCGAAAGAATAAATTTAAGCCACACAGTTTGTGTTACTTTGGTGCAGCAGCCCTAGGGACAAACACAGCAGGAACACACTTTGTCTCCTCCCTCCTCGACCCCTACACACCTAGAAAACTCTTCTCCAACCATGTGTCTTTCATTTTTCCTGACCCAGGCTGCCTCTGTGTGAGATCACGTGGCTCTTTCAACTCCAGGGATGTTTCCAATCACCCAGATGTTCAGACTGATGTAGACTAAACAGTCCGATGCCAGGCCAGGCCTATCCCTATTTGATCCTAATGTTTTGGCGTCTGGGCCACCACTGTAGGCGAGGCATTTGCCCTTGAAGAAATGTAGTCTCTTCTTGTGATCAGATGTCCCCACTGGAGTAGAGCAAAGTGCCCAGAAAAAGCAATGGCTTGGCTGATCTCCATCTCAGCATCACAAGGCCACAGGTCCCCATGCCGGAGGCAGCTCACGTCTTGGCTGGGGATGCCTGTCCAAGGCCAGGCGCTGTTTGCTCTCATTCTTGTTTTCAACTTGGTGTGGAACCCAGGGAGTGGTGCATGCTGGGCACTGGGCTACCTCTCCAGCCCCCATTGTTCTGATTCTTGATCCCAAAATGTATGGAGGGGTCCTCTTCTGTGTTGTCTGTGTGATCACAACAGCCAGGCAGGAAAAATACCTGACAAAAAAAGTGATAGGCTCTGGGTCTGTCTGGGTCCCGAGTGTAGACAGGAAGTGAACAAGTCCGTTTGGAATCTCCTGAAACGTGCTGGCTTTGACTCTGATCTAACTGCCTGGTCTGCGTTGACTGGGAGCTCTGACTTTTAAGGAGAGTTGTCAGCAGACATTGGGCGGGGGGGATGACCAGGCCACACCAATGTGTGGATGGCTGAAATTTCACCAAGTCCAGACATCCTGATGGCAGGCAGAAGTCTCTGGGCTAACTGGTCCCTCCTATACACGTCCAGCAGCAGAGGAAGTGGGCACGGTGAACCCACGTTAGACCCACCCAACTCTGTTCTCGTGAGAACAAAAAACCAAGACTCCAATTGTGGTTTATCTGAAGACGAACCTGCCCTTTGGACAGTCAGCACACAGATACGTTTAAATATCTAGGAAACTACTGGACATGGTGGCACACACCGACAATCCTAGCACTCTGGGAAGCTGGGGCAAGAGGATCATGAGTTGGAGCCTAGCCCAGGCAATAGGGTGACTTTCTGAGACCCTGTAGCTAAATTTAAAATTTTTTAAAGAGCTTGAGATGTGGCTTAGTGTGAAGACTCTGGGTTCCATGCTCAATACAAAAAAAAAACCTAGGAAATGGAAATGATATGATCCTTTTAATGCTGCCTTTTAATTTAAATGAAGCTCACTCCAGATTTATGCCCCTTAAAACCACTTCTACTTAGACATTGAAGTAGGGATTCATATTCCTCATCGGCTCCTGTCATACACAGATGGTTAGATTTTAAACTCACCAACATCTAAGTAACCTCCATTGATGAATTTTGTTTTGTTTTCCATGATTTATTCACCAACTAACTGCATGTATCTTTTATTTAAAGAGATAAAAATAAGGCAGCTTTTTTGTAGGTATCAGATTTCACCACCGTGGTCCCCCACCCTCCCCCTTCCCTGGCTCCCGTCTGACCTTTCTACATTAAGCAGTTTGGCCTGCGCTCATGGGCTCATAATGGGACCAAACGCCCAGTCAATGGCCCAATTGAGAATGGAAGTGGACAACGCTCAAGGATTCAATTACCCTGGACGATTTCAAACTTGACATTGAATCTATGGAAATCAACCTCTTTGTGGGTGTCCAAATGGGCCCATAAATGTCACCACACACTGTAAAATACCACAGCCTTTCTAAGGTCGAGGCATAGCCAGTGAACCTGTGTACACAGTACCAAAATACATCACAGCAATGAACACCAGACCGGCCTCGGTCAAAGAGAGCAGTCTCTGAAGTGAGGCAAAACGTAATTGGGTTGGGGACCCAGAATGGATTCTGTCACAAGCACATTTCAGACCAAGACAAACTAGAAGCTCTTGCAGTTGAGTTAGAAGACAATGACAGCTCAAATAAAAAATCAAAGTATTGGAAACGTGACTCTGGGTCTTACACATTGAAACAACTGTCTCTGTGGAGTCGCAGCTTGTAGTGTCCCAAGCCTGGCACCAGATTGTCTGGGATTTAGAGCCTTGTTCATTTTAGGGACAGCATCTACTGTGTATTGTGTAACTCCACTGGCAAGTTCTGGGCAGCCCCACAAAATCAAATGCATTAGTATTTTTGTAGTGAAATTTAGGAATATCCACACTAACTAGAATAAAGATTCCAAGGGGCTGTGTAACAGTATGGTTCGGGTTTTGTCACCAAATGAGCACTGGTGTCAAACTGGAGTAATATTTTGGGATTTTGGTGCATTTTGGAGTTTAGAACTGATAAGAGATGGTGGAAATAAAATGTTGCCATGATTTGGATTAAAAATGTCCCCTCCCATTTAAACACAAGGACCAGAGTTCGATTCCCGGTTGCCAAAAAAAAAAAAAAAAAAAGCTCCCTCCCAAAATAAATGGCTCGTGTTCAGAGGTGAAACTTTTGCAAAGTGATTAGATCACAGATCCACTAGCCCATCAGTGGGTTCTTCCATTGATGGGTTCATAGCTGATTGTGCTGCTGGCAGTAGGGTCCAGCTGGAGGAAGGTCACTGAGGGCATGGGTGGAAGGGTGTGTTCTTGTCCCTGGACTCGTCTTTCTGAATCTCTACCTGATTGCCAGTGAGTTGAGCAACTTTTCTCCCCCACATCCTTCTGCCATGATGTTTCTGTCTTGTAGCCCATGGATTGAAACCATGAGCCAAAATAACCCTTTTCTCCTTTAAATTGTGTATGTCAGGTATGTTGTCCCAGTAATGGAAAGGTGACTAATGCCTCCACCAGAGAAAATATTGTAGTGATGATTCTTCTGTATTTTCCTGTAGTTATGAACATGTACCAGGATTCTCTGGGTTGCAAGAGAA